GGAGGGGCTGACACAGCTAACTTAGGGACACCTGTGTGTGGTCCGGCGCTGATCAGCATATACTCAGTTTTACTGTCATTTAGATGCAGGAAATTCTGTGCTAACCATTTCTTGATGTCTCGGATGCAGTCATCTAAAGAGGCAAGTGGATTTTGATTATCCTGTGTTAACTGTATATAAATCTGTATATCATCGGCATAAAAATGAAAGTGAACATTATGATTTGCTATCATAGGTGCTAGAGGCAGCATGTATAGGCAGAATAACAACGAAGCCAGGGTCGAGCCTTGCAGGACACCTGAAGTGAGAGGAGCTGTGTCAGAGGCAAAGCCGTCAACGACAACGGAAAAAGTTCTATTGGTCAAAAAAGAGCTAAACCATCTTAAAACCGACCCTCTCAGGCCAATAAGATGTTCGAGTTTGGAGAGTAGGATTGCATGGTCAACAGTATCAAAAGCTGCAGACAAGTCTAAGAGGACCAGCATTACAGACCGTTTTGCATCTATGGCCGTGCTGTGTTGGGCTTTAAAGCCAGATTGAAATTTGTCAGCCACACCAAGACAGTCTATATGGGACTGAAGCTGGGTGAGGACAAGCTTTTCCATTACCTTAGATGCAAAGGGCAACAAAGAAATAGGACGAAAATTAGAAACCAGGGAGGGGTTGAGATTTGATTTTTTAAGGGCAGCCGGGATCTCCCCCCTCCACAGGCAACAATTTATAAGAGACAGCAAGAAAGGTCCAACAGTATCAATAGCCTCCTTAATAATCCTTGCAGGGAGGGGGTCCAGAGGGGATGAGGTAGGTTTTAACTCCAACACACATTTCTTTAGCTGGGGTAAAGAAATTGGAGTAAAGGAAATGAATGTCTGGGATACCTGAGCTACCAAGGGTATATCGGGTGTGGACATTGGAATATTTTGTCTAATAGACCTGACTTTGTAAATGAAGTATTTCAGAAAATCATTGCATAAGGACACCGAGCCCTCAAGGTGGGGGGCGCCTGCCGGATTAATAACTGAATCAATGGTTTTAAAGAGAGTTCTTGGATCCTGCCTGCTTTCCGCGATGATGTTGGAAAGGTATTATGATTTCGCGTCTCTTACGGCCTCCTGGTATAGCCGTAGGCTGTCCCTCAGAATGCCCAGAGAGACGTGTAGACCTTCCTTTTTCCATTTCCGTTCCGCCCGCCTACATTGTCTCTGCAGGGCACGTGTGGTGTCGTTCAGCCAGGGAACCGAGATGGATCTTGCTCTCTTCCTTCTGATGGGAGCGACAGCGTCCATTATCTGGATGCAAGTGGCATTCAGGGAAGAGAGGAGAGCGTGAGGGGATAAAGAAACGTCATGGTCTTGTGACCGATAAAACGTGGAGGCTATAAATGCCTCTGTAAGGCCCACCTCCGTAGGCTTATTAGTCTCGTAAGGCCATTACTTTTTAGTCTCCTTTGGAGGTATCAGACTGGATAGAAATTGCGCTATATGCCTATGAGTGCTTGTGTTTGTTTTATGCTTATTTATTAGACTGATTGTTTTGAACTGTTATCTTTTTCATTGATGTAGCAATTTGTGCTCCTTGAGTTGGAAAGTGCTTTATAAATAAATTTTATTATTATTATTATTATTATTAAATTAGGCACAACATTGGAGGAGTCAGGACTAAAGATGATGTATTCAGTCTTACTTTCATTTAAGCGGAGGAAATTCTGTGATCGCCAATGTTTAATATCACGAAGGCATTTATGCAACGGGATGAGGGCATTCGAGTCACATTGCAAGTCCGCAGCAAGTAAATCTGAACATTGTCTGCATAAAAATGAAAGTGAACATTGTGCTGTGAAACGATTGAGCCAAGTGGAGACATTTATAAAGAGAAGAGTAATGGGGCCAGACTCGAGTCTTGGGGGACGCCGGAAGAAAGTGGGGCTGTGGTGGAGGAATAGTCGTTGATAACAACAGATAAGGTCCTATTCGTCAGGAAAGAAGTAAACCAATTTAGGGCTGCGCCTCTCAGGCCAACGTTATGTTCCAGATGGGAGAGAAGAACTGCATGATCAAGGAGAACTAAAATAACGAGGCACTTGGCACCAAGGGCCAGAGTAATATCATTATGAACCTTCAGTAATGCAGATTCAGTGCTGTGAGGGTGCCTAAAACCTGAATGAAATTTTTCAATAACATCCAGGCATTCCAAATGAGACTGTAGCTGCAAAAGGACATTTTTTTCCAAAATCTTGGATAAAAATGGCAGAAGAGAAATTGGGCGGAAATTGGACAGAAGAGATTAGGCTTCTTAAGAAGAGGTCTCACTGTGGCATGCTTAAGGGCGGCGGCGGGGACACTGCCCAACCTGAGGCAGCTGTTAACAAATGTGACCAGAGAGAGTCCAACAATGTCAATGACCTCCTTAATTATCCTGGCAGGGACAAGATCCAGAGGGCAGTGGGTCAATTTTAACTGTTGCACACATTTTTTAAGTTGCGGCAAAGAAATCAGAGTAAAAGTTTCCAAGGTAAAGTGGACAGGAGGAGCAGTTGGTACAGTAGGAATCATCTTAGGAATACTCCGTCTAATGGCCCAAACTTTATCAACAAAGTAACTTTGGAACTCATTATAGATCTGGACCGACCCCTCGTTAGACAGGATAGCACCAGGATCAATAACGGATTTTATGGTATTAAAAGAATTCTAGGATGATGAACTGTTAGGGTACGCTCACACACAGGGAAATGAGTGAGCAGAAAAGAATGGACCCAGAGGGCTGACGGTGATGCAAACGGATTTAATAGTGCTATACAATATATTTACAAGTGATGAGACAAAAACAACAGAACAAAGTTACTATGGGTATATAGAAAAACCAGGCGTCGATCAGTATAAGGATGAGTCTTTAGTCTGTGGTGAGAAGGAGGGCCGAGTTACGAAACCGAATGGGTCACTTACTGGCTGGTTGGTGGAGATGAACAATGGCTGAGAAGACAGAGTAGAGGACAATGGTGAGAGGAGCAGTTTGTAGGACGGTGCATCACCCCGACTAGTGGGACTGGCAGAGGACTGGTGTATGGTCCAGAGAAGGTAATCCATAGGTGAGGTGGTCAGGAGGGACTGGAGAGGTGTGGCATGGTTGTTGGGGGAAAAACAAGACAAAAATCCAGAAACAAAAAAGGCTAAGACTCAAAACAACTCAAAAGAGAAAACACTATAGAAAATCAAAGAATGTAGCGCTGGTTGTCGGCCTGAAAGCAAGCGAACGAACTGGCAAGGGAGCATGAAGTGAAGTGGGCATAAATAAGGTGAAGGACTAAGTGAAAACAGCTGGTGTAATCAAGGAGACGAGTGGCAGGTGTGTAAGGTGACGTGATCAGGGACTGAAGCACGGAGAGGGAGGTGAGAGAGGCAGGTGCAGCTGAGCAAACCTGACAGGAACATTCTCCGAGATAATGTTAGATAGGTATTGAGTTTTAGCATCTTTTACAGATTTCTGATAGATATCCAAACAGTCCCTTGAAATGCCCAGGGAGACATGGAGGCCATCCTTCTTCCATCTACCCTTCGCCTGCCTGCAGCGTCTCCGCAGTGCACGAGTGGTGTCTTCTTCCTGAGGGGTGCGATGGAATCCATAATCCGGGAGCATGTAGAGTGAAATGAGGAGAGAAAGACATCAGGGCACGTAGGAGGCTTCAGAGCTTCTGAAGAATAAAAGTCAGAGACTACAAAGGCAGCAGCAAAATCAGAGGCCATTGAAGGGGTGAAAATCCTGTGACGCTGACGTAGGGTTGTAAGTCTAGGTGCACTTGACGGGACCAGGACCTCGAAATGGATGAAGAAATTATCAGAAATTGCCATATTTGATATATCCCCAATGCACAAAGATAATCCTCGTGAGATGACGAGGTCAAGTGTGCCCCCACGTTGATGAGTGGGGCAAACTACTGATTAAGAGAGATCAAAAGAGTCCAATAGGGAATTGAAATCATTCGCTAGCTGGTTGGAGGTAGAGTTAACGTGGATGTTAAAATCACCACAGATCAGAAAACTTTCAAACTGTGGGATAAGCTTCACCAAGAGTTCCCCAAATTCATTGACAAAATCCTTAGATTTAGGCAGGTGGTAAACCACTGCACATAAGGTAGGACAATGCAGCACTAAAACAAAAATTTGTACCTCAAAGCTGGAAAAGATCTTAGAGGGGAGGAGGTGGCATTTTAGAGTAGGCTTACAAATAGACACCAAGCCACCGCCTCTGCCAATGGGGTGCGGAGTGTTAAAAAAAGGAATATCCAGTCGGAAGGAGATCAGAAAAAGGGCTATTATCCCCATGTGTCAATCAGGTCTCAGTGAGGAAAAGCACATCCAAGTTATGTGTGGAAATAAAGTCATTAAGAACAAAAGTCTTATTGTTGAGTGATCTTGCATTAAAAAGTGCAAAGTGCGGGGTTGTCTTATCTTGAGGCAGGGCAGTACGATCCACTGGGCAAAGATTGTCCTGTGTGCAATGCCGGCGGGAGCGCCTCAGGAGCCGGCAGCATGGGCGAGGGGGATTGGCGTCTGGGCCAACCGATCGGAGAAAGCGGTAGTTAGGAAGCAATGTCCGCCTTAGGTCGATTTTGCCTTGCTCCACAAGATGTTCAGTCCACAATGACGAATCCAGGCAAGCTTTGAATTTAACATGGAGTCCACCTCTCTTGCCACGACGCCTACGGCAAAAACTACCCGGAAGTGGGCCAACAGAACTCCGTAGGAAAACCGGTATGGATGCTAACGGGGGTGGTGGTGGGTTCGATTGGAAGCCTCGGTAGAAACCTGGCAGACTCGACATTGAATTGCAACAGGGCAATTGACAGTTGTTAAATGTATTTTTAATTGTTGCTTCTATGTTTTTTATGACAATTGTTAATGGGTGAAATAATGTTGCTGCTCAACCCTCCTGCTTAAGGCTAATAATGATAAAAAGAAGTAGAGATTTAAACTAACATCGTCTTGGTTCTTTGTCCTTTTGAGCAGGGTTCCTGAGTACAGGTGACCAGGCAGCCAAAGGGAATTACGGATTGTTGGACCAGATCCAGGCTCTGCGTTGGACCAGTGAGAACATTGCAGCCTTCGGTGGTGACCCCTTACGTATCACTGTGTTCGGTTCAGGTGCTGGCGCTTCCTGTGTCAACTTGCTCACACTATCTCACTACTCTGAGGGCAACCGCTGGAGCAACTCCACCAAAGGTAAAAATCACCAAGGAATTCACATGGGATCTTTATGTATATCAAGTACAGTATGATGTAAAGAGTACTGCAGCTTGGTAAATTGCTGAAAAAACTAAAAATGCAGTCTAGTTTTGTTGTTTTTCATTTGTTTGGGCTAGATTTGGGTAAATGTTTGACATTTTGTCTTGAATTGAGCCTTTGCTCTCATGTAGGCCACTGTTCCTGCATTTAATAGAACTACAACTGTGGATTATGGTCTTTTTTACACGTAGTAGGTAGACATACAATACATTATATAAACACAAATCTGCTGTAGATGTAAAGACTTTCTCAGCCTTTTTCCTCACATGATGCAGTATAACTTACATTAAACTGAGTTGTTACACATACTTCAAGAACGGAGACTGATGGGTGGGTTTTGTGGCAGATTTCTCTCCAATCATATCTGGTTCTCTGGAGACTTAAGCTGTTCATTTTACCTTTACTATAATAAAGGTGGTAGGGCACCACAACCCTATAAAGAACAAGCACCATGATGAGAAAGAACTACAACAGAGGCTGGTGAACAGTTCAATCCACATAGGTTTATTTGGATAATGGTAGGTAGGTAGGTAGGTATTTTATTGATCCCACAGTGGGGAGATTTCTGTGTTACAGCAGCAATAGAGAACAACCAACATAACACCATAAGAACAGACACCACCATAAAAACAGACACATAAGAACAGAACTTCATAAAAACAGAACACAACGAAGACACAGCTGCTGTAACTTGCTGCCACTCCGTGCGGCACAACAAAGAACACTTAGTCTTAAAATAAACAGTTACATAAAGGCAACAAAGCATTAGAACCAATATACACAAGTAGTGTCATCAGAACATTACATTTTACACAGCACAAATAAGCAAATCAAAGGCACCTAAAAACGGCAAAGCAGCACTGAAGAGAATCAGGAACAGCAGTAGAGGCTAAACAACCAGGAAATCAAGAACAATCAAATATTACTCACACAATTAATCCCACAATGGGGGAGAAAAACCTGCGTTTCAGCCATAAGGATCTCTGAGCAACTACTCAAAAAATACCTAAAGCAGGGCAATGTACAGTATTTGAGAAAGATCAGGAACAAGATATTACACATGAGCCTATTTACAATGCATTTCACACCCAGGAGCTGAATATTGCACCTCAGTAGATTATTACACAGTCCCTCATACTGTCACCTAGCTTAGATGTGTTGTACAGTCTGATGGCTGTGGGGAGGAATGACCTGCGGTAACACTCCTTCTTACACTGGGGATGTAACAGTCTCATGCTAAAAGAACTGTTCAGAGCCACCACTGTGTGGTGCAGGGGATGGGAGGGGTTATGCATGATGGATGTTAGTTTTATCAGCATCCTTCTGTCCACCACCTCCTTGATGGAATCCAGAGAGCAGTCCAGGACAGAACCAGCTCTCTTGTGCAGGTCACAGATAAACCGGGTTGTCCTAGGAACGACTGAAGACAAAGGCAGGTGCAGGCATTATTGACCTTCTTGAATAGGATGTGTTGCACTATCCTGTCTAGACAATTGGAACATATGGTCATGCTTTCCAAACACACACTCATCTCCTCCATCCTACTTGATGTTAATCTTGCAGACATCTCAGACCTTTAGTCATGCAATCATAAACTCCAATGACATTTTGGGTCATGATGACCTGGTTAAATAAATATTGGCTTCCTGGGACTGCAGCTGGATGTAAGGCTTGCATAGTTCAGTTGGAACATTTTATAACTTCTAGAGCTGACATGAGCCTGTATTCTGCACTCTGTTAGTCATAACCAGAACAGGGTAGACTGAGCACATACACAACACACAGACTAATGAAGAAGAAGCTTTATTTTATTATCATTGTAACATGTACAACAAAATTTTGTCTGGAGCTGAGGGGCCCTGGGCGTGCATACGCACTGCCATCACGGGCAACTTGGGGGTTCAGTGTCTTGCCCAAGGACTCTTCGACATGTGGACTAAAGGCACCGAGATTCAAACCTTCAACCTTCCGGATGGGAGACAACTGCTCTACCCACTGCACCACCGTGGCCCCCATGATAAACCTACATGGCATGATACATGCTAATTAGAGCATATTGATTGGCACCATGATGTCAGAGATCTAATTTGACATAAAAATAACAGAACATTTTTCTCTGTTAGAGTCCAGGTAAAAATGCATTTACAGAAATTACCGGTTCATCATTTTCTTCCATACCTACCTCAGTTTCTTAGTTGGAAATTAAATTAATAAATAATCCAGAAACAGAACTACAGAAACCTGAGCATCTTTCACTGTGTGTATTTTGTTCTGAGCAAAGGGAAAACATTTAAATCTTATCCAACCAACTGTCAGTGCTGTTTTGCTGTTTGCTGTAGTGGTGGATTTGTTTTTCAACTTTTCTATGAAAAGAGCAAGACCAATAATGTGTTCATCCTTCTCTCAGAATCTTCTGAGTTCTGTGGAACAGCCCGCTTCTTTGGCAATGAATGTTTGTGGCTTACCCTCCTTCTGAAGGGTGTCAATGATTGTCTTCTGGACAACTGTCAGATCAGCAGTCTTCCCTATGATTGTGTAGCCTAGTGAACCAAACTGAGTGACCATTTTGAAGGCTCAGGACACCTTTGCAGGTGTTTTGAGTTGACTTGCTGAGTGGCATGTCACCATATTCAAATTTATTGAGATTGGTGGGTTTTTGTTAAATGTGAGCAAAATCATCACAATTAAAAGACCCGATGGCTTCAAGCTTAAACTACTTCAGTCTGTGTGTACTGAATTTATATAATACACGAGTTTCACTATTTGAGTTGAATTACCGAAATAAATGGACTTTTCCACGATATTCTAATTTATTGAGCTGCACCTGTATATTGTTATAAGAAAGTTTAATAAAATGTCATTTGCTATCACTAATTGTTTGTGACCTTTGACCTTGAATAGAAATCAGAATTGGACCTTTGAATATTAAGTTTGAGAATCCCTCCTGTAGATAAAACATTAGCATGCAAATAAGTTAAATAACTTGTTAGTAGGATACATTCTCATTGCTGGTTGAATCTTTTTATGGAATTTATTGACAATAATAAAAATACAGATTATCACCAGCCTTACTGTTAAACCAAGCTGATAATTGAGAAACAGATGTTGTGTGTTGGTAACCTAAATATATCTTTCCAACAGGAGAATATTTCTGACACCTTGCCTTAGAGGGAAGTAATTTTAGCCCTTTAACATCACTGTTTAATCTCAGCTTGATTAACACACACACTTCAGTTACAGCTGCATCAGCATGTGCATTTGTGTGACGATTTACGGCTTTTGTTTGTTGTTTTTGAGATATTTGAAAAAGCTTCTGAATGGTAATTGGTTTCTTTCTTTCCTCCCTGTCCCTCCCCGCTGGTTCACTCTCCAGGCCTGTTCCAGAGGGCCATAGCCCAGAGCGGCACAGCTCTTTCCAGCTGGGCTGTCAGCTTTCAGCCAGCTAAGTATGCCCGAATGTTGGCCCGTAAAGTGGGCTGTAACCTGGAGGACACTGTAGAGCTTGTGGTGTGTCTGCAAAGAAAACATTATAAGGAGCTGGTGGATCAAGACATCCAGCCAGCCCGATACCACATTGCCTTTGGACCTGTTATTGATGGAGATGTTATACCTGATGATCCTCAGATACTCATGGAGCAAGGTATCAACTCACTTTGCTTAAGAGTCAGCAGTTTCACCCTACATTCATAATTTGACAACTATCTGCACCATTTCTTTCTAGGTGAGTTCCTCAACTATGATATAATGCTGGGAGTGAACCAGGGTGAGGGCCTAAAGTTTGTGGAGCTGATCGTGGACAACGAAAATGGCGTCCAGGCTAATGACTTTGACTACGCCGTGTCCAGCTTTGTGGATGACCTGTACGGTTACCCAGAGGGCAAAGACATCCTCCGGGAGACCATCAAGTTCATGTATACAGACTGGGCTGATCGGCACAACCCAGAGACCCGCCGGAAGACACTGCTGGCCCTTTTCACTGATCACCAGTGGGTAGCACCGGCTGTTGCTACAGCTGACCTGCACTCCAGCTTTGGGTCACCAACATATTTTTATGCCTTCTATCACCACTGTCAGACAGAACAGGTGGGCCTCCAATTAACAGTACATAGTCTTTAAGAATTGTCAGTAATATAAAAATGACACAATACAGCTGACTGACAGAGATATTTAAAAAGTAAATTTGATATTTTAGAGTGCTACCAGTAACTGTAGTATGTTATATGACATCCTGTTTCAACTCTGAAGGTGTTGCAGATCTCTGAACTACCGCCCACATTTCTGATGGGTGTAGTTCTGCAGTCACCAGTGGCTGCATCCCCCTGAGGCGAAGCAGTTGACCAATTTTTGTTAGCCCTTATTAGCTAACAACATGCACACATTATGTTTATGTGTATGTTTGCAGCGCATCTGTAATTGTGACTGCTGACTGTGCACTCATCTCTGAACTTAGCAGGATCCAGTTCAACCTGATATCTTCCTCCAGACCAGATGTCTCTGTTCACTAATGGAGTATAAAATTATACTCATGTAGACATGTCTTTGCCTAAGTTTGTGCCATGCAGAGAAAACTAGTATGTTTATGTGTATGTGTATGTGCACATTTGCGTCACAATTGCCTCTAAGGTTTGCATTTTGTTTAACTTGTAAATACCTTGAGAATTTGAATTTATTAAAGAATCAGTGCACAC